CCGTTTGAGGAGGGGTGGTGTGTTGGGTTTAACCCTACACCTGGAGCAGGGGGGGGGCATGCCCACCCGGAGGCAATTTAGGGGCGAGTGGGGAAGGAAAGGACTGAAAACTGAGGAAAAAGCTGCGTGTGGTCCACAATTTATGCAGAAAACCACAGAAAAACCGGCATGTCTTTCACTTTTTTACCCCCTAATAGTTCTTTTAACACCACGATTAGCACCTAAGTGTGGCCAACTGTGTGTCTGTGTGTGTGTGTCTGTGTGTGTGAGGGTGGATGGGGGTGTGTGGGGGGGTGGGATGGTTGGGGGGGGTGTGGGATAAACACTGGACGTGTTTGCCAGCAGCGCAGATGCTTTTCCTCTTTGTACTCTCCATGCACGCTGACGCTCACGGGGGGAGCTGTGACACCGTTTTTCCACCGGTCGCACACTCTGACACACACAACACACAACAAACAACACACAGGAGCACACAACGCACAACAAACCACACACAACACGCAACACAGATCGGACTTTTCTCTTCCAACTGGAGCAGAAAACTGGACTTTGGGAAACGCGTTCAGAACCATGGACAGCTCCAGCCTTAACCAGAAGCAGAAATCGCCTCTTTTGGAGGCGTTTCTCGCCGGTTTTGGCTGGAGATCAACTTCGTATGAGTTGGAAACAAAGTCAAAAGTCGTTAACGAGCTAATTAGAGGCGGTCTCTGCACATATCTGTTCAACTGAGTTCCTGGGAGCCAGATCCAGGCGCCTCAGGTGCATTACCTCCAGTTTTCTCCTCCAACTTGAGGAGAAAACTGGATTTTGGGAAACGCGTCCAGCACCACGGACAGCTCCTCCAGCCTTAAGTAAAGGGAGAAATCGCCTCTTTTAGTCGCGTTTCTCGCCCATTTTGGCTGGATATCAACTTCTTATGAGTTGGAAACAAAGTCAAAAGTCATTAACTCATTGACTGCCAGCCATTTTCAGAACAGAGTCCCATACTGCCAGAGTTTTTTGAGCATTTTGACTGATTTTTCAAGAGCCACAGAATAGTTTGTGCTATGACTATGTAAACACCGAACACACCAAAAGAAAGAGTAGACTCTCTTCTTTCATCGGGAAAAAAAATGTGTTTCTACCTTATTCCGTTCTTCCTCGACTTGCGTCTCACCGGCGACATGTTCTCTCATATCGAACCATTACGTTTTTCTTATTTGCCTACAGTCTATGCTCATCTCCCATCACTGCCCCCTAGAGGGTCAATTTGTTAGTACATACTCTGTCTAGAAGCCGATATTTACGGACAAGCTTTAGCAGATCGTCCCCCAGCCACTCTCGTTGAAAAACACAAAAGACGTCTATACACGTCTTTGGCAGCCAATGAGATAACGAGCTAATTAGAGGCTGTCTCTGCACATATCTGCTCATGGTGGGAATTGTTGGGTTTCTGTAGTTAACTTCAGAGTAGGGTCTGACCTGCTCTGTTTGGAAAGCGCTGTGAGACAACTGTTGTTGTGATGAGGCGCTATATAAATAAAATTGAATTGAATTGAACTGAATTCCCTGGGAGCCAGATCCAGGCGCCTGCAACACCTGAGTGGGTCAGGGGGGGGTCAGGTGCCTTACCTCCACACTTGGCCCAGCTGGAGCACGTGGATGGTGGCCTGCCACAGCCAGATGGAGGCCAGCTGGAGGCGGTCCTTCCCGGGATAGAGGCACCCCAGGGCCACCGGGCCCCGCTTGGTCAGGCCCTCCACCTCCCCCAGCCCCCCGCCGGTGTAGTCCTGCACGAACCAGCGGAAGCTCAGGATCTGCACGAGCGCGGAGGGCACCAGCACGAAGAAGAGCGTGAGGCCGAACCACAGGTAGTCCCGCCTCCGGTAGTACTCCGCGGCCAGGCACAGGTCCGTGCCCACGTCCCAGAAGAACACCAGCAGCGCGAGCACGATCCACAGGCAGTCCAGCCACAGCTGCTCGCGGGGGGGGCAGTGCGTCTCCCGGACCCCCCCCACCCCCCCCCCCCCCCCCCCCCCGGGGGGCGGCCCCCCCCCCCCCAGCAGCGAGCCCAGGCACGCGGAGCGGCAGCCCCAGTAGCACGCGGAGGAGCGGCAGCACTGGCAGATGTGGATGGCGGCGGAGTCCAGCGGTTCCTCCGCGTCCACGTCGTAGAGTTGCGCGAACCCGCCCCCCCCACCCCCCCCATAACCCCCATCACCCCCCCCACCCCCCCCGGGCTTGCCTCCGTCCGACTGGGCGGCCATGTCCGGCTTCCCGCTCCTCCTGCCCTCCCGAGAAAAGCACGACGGGCGCCCCGTTGCGCGCGCACCGCGTCACTCCCCAGATACCTGCACGCGCTCCTTTTGCTGCTGATGCTGATGCTGATGCCTCCTCGCGCTCTCCGCGTCCGCTGGGTCTCTGGCACGCGCCGGGCGCGAGGAGCCATCGGCCTCCGCCGCCCCCCGGTCCCGGGCCGGTCGGGACGCCGCCCGCGGGCGCGCGCGTGCGGCAGCGGCGGCGGAACTGGTCTGGCTCCTAGTCCTAGTCCTAGT